TTGTTGTTACCACATGCGTGGTAATAAGTTCAAAGCACCGCAGGTCAGGTAGGAATATTCGTGGTATAAGGCTGATAGAGCTGGAATTTGACTTTATTTAAATTTCATTGGACTTTGAAAATAACTTTAGCTTGTGAAAATATTGTCTCCGAGGGCTTTTACTTAAAACAGAAGCGTTGGGCAGTGTTGTTTTACAGAATGAATTGGGTAAAGACGCACTTGGTCTCCATTTCTTCCTCCTCATTCCTCTGTCACATAATAAACTCATCCTGCATGACGACACGGACACTCTTGCCTGGACTACTATATTATATATATATTAAAAATATATTTATTTGGTGCTCATATCTTTAGATATATCATTTTTTTGCCATTATTCTCTTCCTTCACGTTGCACATTAAAGCTTACAGGAATAGAGTGCTGCTATATGCAGTCTTCAAGGGTAAATCCTCAGCTTGAGTTGCTAACTTAAACATCATGCAACTTGGGTGTAAATGCAAAATACCCATTTTTTTTCGGCGGAGCTGAGCATGGTAAGTACAGTAGTTGCATGTTAAGACTTCATAAACATTCTTTTCCTGCTAGAAACCTTATATCACGTTTCCATGCTTCCTGCAGCATGTAGCCCTGGGGGAGCAGAGGTGTTTTAATTCTTAATTTAGACTTTAATTCTTAATTTAGACTACATTATTTTTTCCGACAAGTTCCCACCATTGCTACAAGGAAATACAAAGCAGTAAGACAAACACAGCACTAAGTTTTTTTAAGTGGTGCTGTGCTAAGTGACCTTACTGATACTACTAAGAAACCATTGAAAAGGAAAGCGGTCATCAGTAGAGTAATTTTAATTGCAGTTAATCAATTTAATTTTAATTTGTAAGTTAGCTCAGGAATCTGGGAAGTTTTTGGGGGGTTAATTTGCAGTTGCTTAGGTGTAAAGAGGGAAATTTGTACAACTCAAGAGACACTTGGAAACAGAGCTTTAATTTAATGTGAAGCAGTGAAGTTGAGCTCGGTGTTGAGCTCAACATTTTAAAACTTCACATTATAGACCAGTCCACACAGTTTGGTCTCTCTTAGGATAAAACCAACATGTGGATCCAAGAGTGGCATTTGACAGAGTCTGTGAATTGGCCAAGAGCATCTGATCTGACAAACGTGTAATTCGTCTTCTGCGTTCAGAAATCGTTCACGTCTTCCCACGGGGTGTGCTCCTGCAAGCTGCTTCCCCAGGCTCCAAGGCTTTGGCAGGCTAAACCAGGGCTGGGGCGTGTAGAATTTTTCAGTCCTGAACTTAGCAAGCTTATGGACCCCGCAGGCAAGGATGCTCAGGCTGAGGTTGGCCCTGGGGACTCGGCTTTTCCTAGTAGTCAGATGAGGTTACACCCATGAGAGAAGGACCAAATAGATCATCTTCTTGTCTTGAATTGTGCAATTAGTTCCAGCTACGCACAAGGAGAGAAAACTAATTGATTTGATGAATGTATGGAGATTCCCGTTAGGACGCTTGGTATTTGGCTTGTGTAGCCAACCGATCGCCCGTCCCTTACCATCTCAGCCACTTCGCTGCCGTCTTTGAGTCTATAAATTAATTTATGGTCTTCCACAAGAGCAAGGCACTGGGTTTAGACATCTCTGAGTTCAAGACCAAAGCTCTGCTGGTTGACGTTCGTGAGTAGGGAGCAGACTGGGATTATCCAAAGCTCTTCTCAATGAGGGCAAAGACCTGTTAGGCAAATCAGTCTACCTGAAACACTACAGCTGAAGGATAGGGAATGCGCTTGAAAAATCAGAATAATTTTATTCCTGAAATGTAAAATAGATCAGTCTGCATCTGAGCTGCGCGAAGGGAATGAGTGGTTTCTACTCACACCATTGCTCCTTGCATGCAGCGTATTAATATATACAATTTACTAGCCCGTATTCACGATACAGAATGCTCAAAGCCACATGCAACTCGTCGGCTTAAATCTAAAACCTTTTTGCCTTTAATTTCTAAATCCCCACTCAATTTCCCAGAAAAGGGGCTACATCAATCTGACAGCTTTTATTTGGCTGTGCCCTGTATGTATTTCTTCTTTTAAGTGATGGCACAATGTAGATGAGTCTTACTAATCAGAAAGTCACATAAGGTGCTAAGCTGGCGGAACTGCGATGCGGTTTTAACGCAGCTATCATCTGGAAGCCTGAAATAGAAATTCCCTTCTCCCGAGCAATGCAAGGTGTGGATGCAGTTATGTTTTGAGACAACCTTGTCTTTGTAGCTTCAGCCCGACTTGTTGGGTTAGATGGTGTTTTGGGCTTTTTCTTTCAGGGATTTCTTTGGTGGGCAGTGCGGGGAAGTGAAGGAGGACAGAGTCTGTTCCAAAAAGAAGGGCATGGAGTAAAAAAACTTAGAAATACCAGTGAAAGCCTATTTTTCATTAAATGCTTTAGGTTGGAGGCTTCTGTGCCTTAATGGGGAAGTATCCAGGCACGTATAGTGTATAAACAAGGGACACAGCTAGAAGTTGGGTGCCTTGTTAGTGTAAAACTAGCTACAAAAAATACTAACGCAGGTTCTGGATTATCCTTGTTTCCCCCCACCCTCTTTACAGTTGGGTTTCTGGAGGTAAAGGAGGAGGGTAGATGTCCCGTTAAAGGGTATCACCTGTTGAGTTTTGGTAGGATTTCATCTTCTCCTTAGAAATTTCAGGCTCTGAGGAACGGCAGATCAGCAGGACGGGCTCAGATCTCTGCGTATTTGCTTTGCGTTCATCTTCAGAATAGAAAGTTCCTTAGGACACCTCTTAGCTCAGCATCTGGGCTATATTAAATAGGAAAATGATAAACGTGGGGAGGAGGGGATATGCTATTGCTTCTGTTACACACTATAGTTTTGACTGACTTTCTTTCTAGAGAGGGTTTTTTTGCAATTTTTTTTTTCCACTGCAGAAATCTCAGCGTAAAGGAATATACATTTTTCCCCACGTTCAGGTGAGCGCTGCGATGTTTCCTGTCTCACAGCAGCTATTTCAAGACAGTTAAAAATTGCTCGGCTGTTTTCATGTCAAATTCGAGCTTATCAGGTCTTTAAATATCTGCAGTTTAGTGACTTGAAAAGTGTTTTGTTGTCTACAAAAATTGTCTTCTGGCTTCCCAAACGCGTGTTTACAAAACATTTCCACTTTGGGGAAGATAACAACTTGAAATGTCTGCTTCGGTAACCGTGCCTGATAACTTCCTTGGCTATTTATTCAATACAAATTACTCTAAAACTGCCCCTGTTGAAGGTTCTATAGGCAATAAAGTCTCCCTGTGCAGTATATACTACTTGCTGTATGTGGCCCTGTCCATATATCTGTAGGAAGGGAAGAAGCGTGCAAGGAATAAATGACCATTTTTCCAAGCACACTACTTATGTCCGGGTGTTCTGCCCATGCAAGGAACCGGGTTGTCCCATGCGCAGTGGAGACCTTAGGAATATTTTGGACGTGCAGGACATGGGTGGCCAGTCCTCTCCATCACAGCAACCTCTTCCTTCATCCTGTTTGCTTACCAGCTGGGACAATGTGTCCCCAACACAGTGTGTGTGTGTGGGAGGGGAATTAGTAGGCTTGAGCAAACAGCGTTACTCATAGGGGTGATGAGTCTGCGGCAGAGAGGTAGAACTTAGTAGACGATGGGTATGTCGGCATCCTTGGCACCCTTGTATGCCCAGCATGTGCCACGACACGTACGTGCTCCTCCTCGCTGTAGTCAATGCGAAGCTATGGCTGTGCTAATTGCCTTTTGGTGAAGAGCCAGGTAGAAACATCTTTTTTCACGTGCTGCTATAGGTATTACTCGGAAGAGCCCGCGGACACCGCTCTCAGATCTCCAGGGAGTCAATACCATCAACGAGAGGACCCAGCGGTAAGTCTCTTGCTTTTATGTTGGCATGAGAAGGAAATCTAGGATGGGAGAGGACTGTCTGTTGTTGTAAATGACTGTATTAATGTTTCTCCCAGCTTGCTTATTAATTTTGTCTTCTCTTTGCTCTTTCTTTTTTTATATCTAAATATCTGACCAAACGGCAGGCACGGAAAGCAACTTTCCTGCGTCAAAAGGCAGCAATTGTAGGTGGTGGGGTGTACGAGGTGATAAGAAGCTTGCAAAAAAAATGAATGAATGTGCCAATACCAAGGAAATAAAAAAATTGCCGAGGATTTTTCTGGCATGAAAAACCCAGCGGTGTGTTTGGGTGCAGAACTGCACACAAGATCTGTGATGGTGGCTCTAGGCACCACTGAGTGTAGAGGACCTGGGAAGTTATGGGGCTTGCGATGATACCTTGTCAAATGTTTGCTTGTTTTTAAGGGAAAGAAGCAAGTTAACTTCAAAAAGGTTTGATTTTTACAGTTTTTATGTACACTTTTATTTTTTAATCTTTCCTTGAAGGTTCTAGCCGTTCAGGTAACTACTTAATGAGACCTTTTTGCCTGGGAGTCAGGTCTACACTTTGACCTTGGGAGTCAGGACTACACTTTAAGTGCTATCCCTCTGCAGACCCCAAAAGTCTGATTATCCAAATACCACCGCTAAAGGGGTGCAGTGTCTCTCTGCTTCCCTCTGAGCAGATGCATGTGTGTTCTGGGGAGAATTATGATCAGAGCATCCTCAGCTCCTAAAACGATTGCTTGGAGCTGCAGACATCCAGGTGTCACTTCATGGCTGCTCTTGAGTTTCATGAGAAGTCCAGAACAAGTCGAGAGGAGTCTGAGATTGGATGGACATGTTTCAGGAGACAATCCCCTGTAAAGGTCCTTGCATCTCAGTGGACTTCCCTTCCACACAAAAGAAAACATCCTCCAAATATATTAATAAACCTGATTTTTTACTGGCTTTAATGCCAAATGGCCAAGACAGAAATTAGATACATGTTGTTCCTTTGTTTTTCCTAGGGGGAAAAAAAGTGGCTTTTATTGTCTGGTTTTGTTCACCACGTGCCCTCTGAGTGCCATCAAGACTAGAATATCCCTCTTGCCCTGAATTTCTTCCCTTTGGGAGTGGTGGTGGCACCCTGCTGAGGGAGAACTGAATATTCTCATGTCATTACAAGTTGGCTTATTTTCAGTGGTCAGGGAGGATGTGATTTCGATAAAATTGCTGGATTGAATTAATAAAATTGTGCCACTTCTCAAGTTTGGGCAGAAATCAGCTTGTGCGAGCAATCTCATCCTCTTGTGGGGAAGGTGATGCAACGCTGGTTGTCCTCACATCAATCTTTCCCACCCCTCCTTTTCTCTCTCCTGTGCTATAGCTTCTACAGCTCGAATCTGTTGGGTTACGACGACAGTAGGTACATGGTAACATTTGAGGCAGACAAGATTAGTGTCTTCAGAGGTGACGTTCACTGTTTCTAGCACCTCTGGTTGCACAGGTTTCCCTGAACGTGACGTAATGTGAAACTTTGTCCCTGTGAAGATCTTCATATGTAGATAAGAGCAGTTCTGCAGTTTCTCTACCAAGCCTTCAAATCTGACATTGGTGCATGAAGAACGTCTGCAAAGTGGGATGGGGCTTTTCTTCACTGTCCAGCTCCAGCTTTGGAGGCACGTTAGGGCAGCAGCTTGGGCTGCCAGCATCTTCATAGCCCAAAACATTTTAATTATCTCAACGAGGGGCCATTGTAAAGGCAGGGAAACTCCTCCGGCCACAGGCAACAAGGGGGATATATTTATTTACTGTGGAGCTCAGTCTGTGATCAGCTCTATTTATTTGGCTTAACCCAAGCCAACATAGCAGACAAGTTGCCTTAAACAGCCAGGATCAAGGGCAGCACCTACTGTGTCTTCTTTCCATCATCCTCAGCGGTTGTATCCTAAAACCAGGATCAGGACAGACAGTTTATTCCCTCTACTGATATATTTGCAGAAAATGTACTTTTGAAGCTGTCCTAACTCCTGTGTTCCTCCTGGTGTGGTGCTTCAGTAGCACGATCCATGAACTTTGCTCCTCTTGGGCATCATCAGTGATGGGTCCCCAAATGTCGTCTGAGCCCCTTCCTTCTGACAGCACAAACCAGGTCTCGTAAGATCTCCACAATCCAGCCTGTGCTTTCAAAGTAGGCAGGTGATTTTGATACCTTTCATTGTGGATGACTTTGATCTGAAGAGTCATATCATACTTGATAAATGTTGGTATCTCAGTTAAATGGCACTTGTCGAGCGAGCAGGAGTAAATACAGGGGTGAAGGTAACACGTATAGAAGAGAGATTAACAGCTTTCCAGTAGATAGACTGGCAAGCGATTTATGGAGCGAAATTAAACAGGAATTTGCTTTCAAAGCCATCTCACGATCATGCGGTTGCTGATAAGTCTGCGTTGTACATCCAACCCACAGGATAGCCCGGGGCTTGCTTCTAAAAGCAAATTTGAGGCATGACATCATTCAGGAAGTCATTGTGGAGAGTTTAGCGAGCCGAGTGCTCTCTGATCTCAGAAGAAAGCAGACGGGTGGTTTGCACATGCCGGGGGTAGCGGGGGGAACCAGGCTTCAGCAGAGCATCAGGAAGCCGGCGTGCCTTGGAAGTGCCTTCACTGGCCGTCAAGTAATGAAAACCATGCCATCGCTAACCAAAACCGCTTGGGCTGTCTGTTTTCCTGCTGGTTTATGTTCATTGATGAAACTGGGTTATGCGCAGTGATGTCGAAGCGGCGTGCAGGAAAGCAGGTGTTGATCAGTCTCTCTTGAAACAGTTCGTTGGGCTTGGTGAGATGATTGACCTCCCAAAGTCCCAAAACAGCTATGTCGGTCACCATATGCACAAATCCATCCTGAAGTGTCCATAATAAACGGAGTTGTCATTTTATCTCTTTTTTTCTGAAAACCACATGGGAATTTCCAGGTTTTTCTATTCTATAGTCTTGTTCAGAGTCCATACAGCCACAGCCAGTCTCGAGCTTCAGAGTGCATTGAGGTCAGCCAGGATTAATGATGGATTGTAGATCTCAAAAGTGGTCATTGAGGTTTAGTGGTACCCATCAACTGGTGATTTTTTTTTTTTTCCCCTCACCCTGCAAATAGGAGGTGTTTGACGGATATGGGACCTTAGCTGTAAAGAGAAAGAGGTGGACAGGAGAGATCACCTGAATATTAAAGCTTTTCGCTGGCCTTCCTTGAAGCAAACAGGCTGCTTAAAAAAAGCAGGTCCTGGAGCTGCTAGAGCGCTCAGCCAAGGGTTTACTTTGCTGTGATTCATCCTTTCATTTAACAGTGATACATGTCAAAAAGCTGATTTAATGGGGCTAGGAAGGAATTTGAAAAGCGCTGCGGCGAGGCAGCAAGGCGACTTGCACTCCAGCGTCACAGTGCTCCGAGGGTCTGGCTCCAGGCTTTGAGCTGGCCGAATGAACAACTTTACGTGCTTTATTTTTTAATTTCCATGCAGTACTTGATATTTGCCCTTCCTCCAAATCAAGACTTTAAGGCAAAGGGCTGCCTTGTTGCTAGACCTCAGAAGTGACCGGTGCCGGAGGCCCCACTTAAATCACTGTGTCCTTCAGCGTCCTCGTGACCAGAAGACTGGTGCTGCATTGAGTCTCCTCCTATTCCTTTTCTTCCTGTCTGAAATGGCTCAGGGGGGTTTGCAGGCCCCACATCCCTCCTTAGATCAGGTTTCTTTCATGTGATGGTTTCTGCAAGGCTGATAGAGAATTTAAAATTAGAAAAAGAACACCAGACCACCAAAACCCTGCCACCAAACCAAAAGTATTGCAGTTGGGTGCAGCCCAGGAGAGGCTTTGCGTAACCCCAGACCGCGTAGGAAAGCTCCTCAACTCTGTAAATTATTCACCTTGATGCGAAATTTTGTTGAGTACCTGTTTCCCTTCCTCAGAGGGAGGATTTTGGTTCCTCTTGCCATTCCCTTCAGTCCTTCTGCAGCCAGGTGAGCATTTCTGGAGACCAGAGCATCTCTGCTCCGCAGCAGAGAGGACCACATTGGGCGAGGGATTTGTGATCGGGTATATGTAGCTGATCGCTTCACGTGGTGTCTGGCGTCATGAACTCATCCCATGGGAGTGAGTGAACAGCGAGAAGAATAAAGTGTTGACTGTCATTTTCTACCAACGGATTATTTTATGATTTTTTTGTTGTTGTTGTAGAACCAGGTTTTTTAATATCTTCTTAACACTGTGCGGTGTTTGGTGTTACAGTGATGCCTATGCGGTTGGCTGGAATGGCCGGATGGGGATGCGGCACAGCAGGCTCACCAGCCCCGGCGCCTTCCTAGACAAAGATGGGATATTTGTCAACGCAACCAACAGCAAACTGCTGGAGAGGGCCCACGGCATCCTCATGTCAGTGCAAAAGCAAGGGATTTTGGCTTTGTTCCTGGAGCATAACGAGCAGCATGGGTAGTTAGAGGAATGTAAATAGCCAGAATAAAAAAAAACCCCAGGTTTCAAGTAGGCTTGGAGACGTTTCACGGTTGGGTCAAAGCAACCCTAGTATGTTTTACGCATCTGATTTATGTAACTGCTATCATTCATTTGTAATGACAGACGCGGGGAAGCGAGAGAAGGAATGAATCTGCCAGTCGAACCAGTCTCAAGATATGACAGTGATGTAATGCAGTCACGTTTTTTAACGTGATATCAAATTTTCCATTACAAATGAGGTGGGGAAATGATGTCCATGATTCATGCTGCAGCCTCATCAGGAGGTTCAGGGAACATCGCTGGGGTGGCTGGAGTTAACGTAGGGTATGAGAAAGCAGGAGGGTGGTCAGTTGTTTTGCGACGCCGCTCCCCCGCTCTACCCAAATTACCAGCATCCCCATAACTTCTGATGTAACGATTCCCCTTAATTGGACACCTTTCTCTCCAACCTGTGCAACTAAATTTGTCAAACCAGTTTGCAGCATGCAGAAGCAGCCCAGTTTCAATGCAGGTTGTAGGAAGCAGCTGCTAAAGGGGATTTTGAAGGGCTCGTTTCATAAACTCCTCCATTCTGCAACTGCGCACGTGCATTAACCCGCGCCATTTATTATCTCCCCAGGCGAAATAAGAACTTCAAAGCCAAACCCAACCTCCCAAAGGTGAGCAAGAGGGAGCGTTTTTACCTTGCCGGTCCCTGGGTTAAGACTGTAGGTACAATGCTGAGATGCTGATGGGTGTGAGGAGGACCGCTTGTGTTTACATCAAGACCTTGGTCAACGCAGCTCTGTTCAGAGCTCTTTAATTTCTATAAAACCAAAGGGTTTCAGCCCTGAGAGAGGACTATATCCTCCTTTCTTGGACCTACTCTGGCTCCTTTTTTCCTCCTTCTGAGAGGGACTGTGTACGTGGTGGTGAAGTTTGGTAATTAAATCCCTAAAATGAGCGGGTAGGTCATGCAAGAGGGCTGGTACCTGATAGACTTGTCTAACGTATTTTAAGAGATGCCAAGAGATCTGTTGCATCTAGAAGAATAATGCTCCTTGTGTTCCTTGCTGTTGGTGCGTCAGTGGTCGGGAATGGAGGGCCAGGAGGAGCAAACTTTGGTTTTACTCTTCTCTGCGTGCACGTTGCACACGGAGAGGCACAGATACAGTTGATCGATGAACTGTTGATTAACAGTGAATAGTTTCTCTGCAGCCCTTAGTGGGGTAGGAGAGCCAAATTTCCTGTGGTCAAAGATGCCCTTGGCAAGTCCTCAGAGGTGAAGAGGAGCTCAGAGGAACATGATCTGGAGGATCTAGCTCTGGCCAAATAGAGCAGAGCCACATTTCAAGCTGTTCCTCGGTGTTTCCTATTGAGATTAAGTAGGGTGGTCACCCTAAGGAAGCCCTGGAGAAGGTATAAACAGGGAGATAGCAGGGAGCATGACAATAAGATCTAGTTATTCTTATATTTATCAAGAACAAACGGAATCTCTCTTTTTCCACAGCACATGCTAGACGTGAAGTCCCTCAAGCACCTAACAAACTTGACACTGCACGACCGCATTACCAAATCTCTTCTCCATCTCCATAAGAAGAAAAAACCGCCCAGCATCAGTGCCCAGTTCCAGGTAATCCTTTGCCTTTGGTACAGAGAGGTGAATTAAAAGTAAATACCTGCTCTGGGTCCCCAGGGTACCTAGGAGGACACTTGCAGGCACAGTCCTGTCCCATCTTCACCGCTGTTGAGGATCTGAATTCAGCTGAGGAGGTGGCTTGGGTAGCTGGGAGACACCTTGCTGGTATCTGAATGGTGTAAATGGAGAGAAACAAGAGCGATGGTGGATATTGTGGGGGATCACAGAATCACGGAATCATTAAGGTTGGAAAAGACCTCTAAGATCATCAAGTCCAACTGTCAACCCACCACCACCATGCCCACTAGACCATGTCCTGAAGTGCCACGTCTACACGTTTTTTGAAGGCTTCCAGTGATGGTGACTCCACCACAAAGAAGGTTATATTGCAACCTTTATGACCAGGAGTGGAAGGTTTTTTGTACCTTTCATAATATAACTATTCCGTATCTGGACAAAGGAATATTTTGGGGGTGGACCCAGAAGCCTGCAGACAGTTTCTCCCTCCCTCAAAAATCTTCCTTGCCTTGGATGGACCAGTAGCATAAACCAGCCCAAAAGCTACCCCGACTAGAAAATTCCTTTGAATTGCACGAGTGATGCGGTGGAGCGAGGTGGGACGTGAGGATGAGCTGCAGAGCGGAGATTTTGGTGCATCCCTGTCCTCCGGTACCTCCCTTTCCAAGCCATCGCGTCGCGGTGCTTCCTCCGCCGAATCCAGAAGCTGCGAAATCCCGAAATGACATTTTTACAGTCTTTTTACTTGCATTTAGCATCTGAAATTCAACCTGTTTTCAAGCCAGCCGGAACGTTAATTTTAATAGGGGCGGAAAGGTCAAAATATTGCTGCGTTATCTCCAGGCGGGCAGAGGAATTCAGAGGAGGGATCAAATTGTGTTGCGTTCTCGGCGCGGTGCGCCAGCCAGCCGTCCCTAGGAATAGCTGGGGATATATATAATAATCCTCCAATATGGGCATCAGGGCCTGGAAACTGCTGCAAGACACATGCACAAGCAGGCGGTAATATTAGAAAGCAGCTTTTCCGTTAAAAATTGGTTTCTAAGCAAGTCTGGCTTGGTTTTGACTTGTTTGGGGGTTATTTGTAGATGTGGGTCATTTTTAGAAAGTGTCCGTGTGTAGATCTGGGTAAGATTAATTAAATATATACACGCACACGCACACACATCTCTATAAATCTATATATAATTTGCAGAATGCACATCTGTGTATTTATACACGTATTAAGCTTAGTCTAGACTAATGGCACGCTGGTGAAAATACACTTCTGCAGAGTTTAATTCATACAATACCACGGAGGGGGTGAAACAGGGGTATCTTGGAGTGAAACGCCTTCCCGAAACCTATTCATCCTTCCAACGAAATTCTGAAAAGCCTCAGGGTGTGTGATTGAGATTTTTATATCTATTTTTACAGCGCATACAAATAACAGACCACTGAACACTGTGAAGATTCCCCCCCGCCCCGCTGTGCAGCGAAGCAGATCGTTCGAATACCCTTTTTTGGGGGGCTTTTGGTGATTTGACAACATAGGAGCTGTGCCTACAACACATCCTTTTTTTCTATTTAAATGAATGAAAACATATTTAAGTCGGAGGCAGCTCCGGTATGAATGCCTGCTTCTCCTCTCAGGCAAACGCCGGGCACTCCAGCCCAAATTTCATTTAACGCTCGTAAGAGAGAAGCGTTTTCGAGGGAGAGCAGCCCTGGTGCTTTTTTTTAAATCAAGAGCAGGCTAATAAAATTGCAGCACATGGAATTGGGTCACAGGCAGGAAACACAAATATTTCCTATCGTGGGGTTTGGGGTTGGGTTTTGGGGTTTTTTTTTTGTTTTGTTTTGTTTTTTCTGATAAATGCCGCCTTGTGGCTAATGCCTGAACACCGGGATTGCAGCTGCTCCGTCTCCTATGGAATTTAACCGTGCCTATGCTTAGTGATCTATAGGCGAAATGGCTGTATTAGAGGATGCTGTCGGAGCAGCGACGGCTTTCGCGGTTGAAAACTAGACCGCTGACTAAACTGCCGTACGGCGATGTTCAGCCTCCCCCGTTACCCTGCGTGCGGGTGGTACCCTACGGAAAAGGATGCTGCCCCGTCTGGCACGGGGCGGGATGCAGGAGCGATTCGTCGCGCCCTGAAAGACCAGATGCGGGCGGTGAAAGAGCGGGTGGCTGGGAAGTTTTTGCAGACAGAGGGACGAAGGAGCCGGGTACGGGGTTAATCCGGGGACCTCGCGCGTCCTTTGCGGATTCCCGGCGATCGGACCTCGCGCCAGATGGCAGAGGGTGCCTGGACCATCTGCCGCGCGCGGGACGTCGCCGGCTGCTGACGGAGTGGCGATACCTCCTAACGGGGCCGGCGGTCGCGGTACGATCCCATTTCCACGATTTCCAGTGCCGGGAGCGCTTCGCTTGCCGGGCTTTCGGCAGGGCTCTTTGGCAAAGGGGTTGCATCCCCCCGGCCCGGTGTGGATGCCGCTGCGTCAGTGCTGATTGATATCTCCTAGTAGGCTGCTTTTTGTTGTTGTTGTTGTTGTTTTCTTCTTTTTTTGAGCGATTTCAGTCAAAACACCGGAGCGTGCCGGCGGAGGTCTGCCGCGTCATGGCGTTCCCGGTACTCCCTGGGATGGGAGCGACGGGGGCATTTACGTGCAGTTAGTATATACGTAACACAGCTGCATCGTACGTGCGTGGGAATCCATCCCTCGCTCTTCCCCAGATCCTGGATGTGGATAGTTTTTTTCTAAACATGAAAGGCTTCCCATAAAGACGTCTTTAAAATGATCAGAAGGAGGAGAAAAGGCTTCCTGCAAGCAGATCTGTAGGCAAAATGCTCCTTTTCTCGTATCACACTATTTTATTAACACATATATTCAAAAATTTATAACTCTGCTTATAGTAAATATGCAACAGAATATCTTTTACGCAGCTGAATTTCAAACTCTGTTAAAATCAGGAGTAATCAACTCTGAAGCGCGTTACTAATACCATGTCGGTAATGCGCTCAGCAACTGGAGAGCTTCAAAGTATTTATAGGGCACAGCAAAAAAAATGCAGTCGAGGAGCCCGGCCAGCCACAGACTGACTCAGCATGCTCTGATTTTCGGTATGTTTTTATTCAAAGAGCTTGTGCTTTGTCGCAGAAGAGTCAAAGATTTGCGAGGTGGAGGAATAACTCGCCGTGATGTCCCGCTGGAGCAGTTGGGCATAGCGATGATGCCAGTGTAAAGTCATTTTTATGGGCTAGACTGTTAATATTGATGCAGAAATAAGGGGAAATGTAAAATGGGAACCTGAAAAACCCTCGATTCTCAGTCATCACGACTCTGCGTTTCAGCAGAGGAATGCAGCAGCATTGAAGCTATTCTCCTCCGAAAACAAGCTATGAAGTGTTTAGGGTTCACAGGCTTCAAAAATAATTGGAAATGCCAGATTGCAAATCACTGCAGATTCTAGATGTTCTCTTTGCAAAACTGTCATTCAGAAAATTCACTTTTAGGCCAGCAATTAAGTTTTGACAATTAAAAATCAGGGATAAGTGCTGCGTGGAGTCACTTTTGATAAAGGAAAAAATTCTGTTTTCATTTAAAAAACATCAGTGATTGTTTGGTGCAAGGTGTAAATCCTTGTCTCGGAGCTCCCACTCACGGCTTGTTGGTGTGGAGCAGGATGTGACTTCGGGCTCCAGTGGCTGATGTGAAAAGGTCGAACCGGGGAGCTCAAATACGACCCAGTATTATATTTCTCTCTGGCTAATTTGTTGGCTGCAAAGACAAAACCAGCCAAGTTGCTTGGGCTGAAACACTCATTTTGGGGAACGACATCCAATCTGCCTGGTTTACTCATCATTTATTCCAGTTTTTTTTTTTGTTTTCCGATTTAAGTGCTTGGATTTTCGTTATTCATCGTGGTCATTTCTCCGTTTCCCAACTGAAGATGTCTCCTCTGTTGCAGGCATCGCTCAACAAGCTGATGGAGACCCTTGGCCAAGCAGAACCTTATTTTGTCAAGTGCATTCGATCCAACGCCGAAAAGGTAAATCCCGTCCTGTGAAAGCAGTGCTGCTAAAAATCATCTTGGCAGTATTTTGTAAATTTTTATGGCGGGGGGGTTAAAAAGAAAAGAAAACAAAGCCCCGAATCAAGTTGGATTTAGAAGATACTTGTATGTGAGCAATGGGAAGCGTGGATGTTATCGCTTGGGTGTTGCTCTTGATAAACTGCGCTGGCTCTTCTTGCAATGGTAGAAACACGTATATGAAAAATATATGGTTTTAATTTATATGAAAAATGCAGTGTTTTCAATACATGAATTTGACTCCTTTGAAGCTCCTGCCACCCGTAATAGACATTTACAGAGCCGTGAATTCCCTTGTGCTGTTACTGAGCCCTAAAGCTTCTTTAAAATAAAGCTCCTATAGGTAAAAGCAGATACTCTTAGAATAAGCTGCATTATTCAAACTGACTCCATGATGCAACGTATTTCTTCAATTGGACTTTAAGCATTTGTCGCGTGGGCTAAGGACCCTCAGTTTAAAATGAAGGTTGCAGCAGTGATGCTTTCCTGCGGATTCACCCTTGGGAGTTTAACCCGGACATTTAAAGATGAAGCTCTGTGCCTAGGAGATGACTTGGTTGCTCACAATCTTGCCCGTTAGCTGTGCCCTTTGCAGGGTTCTTATGCAGTTCAGAGGCTCCAAAAAATCTTCTTTTTAGCTTTATATATCTAGTTAGCTGATTGACAGTCTCCATCTGATGGCTGCTTGGAAGAAAACAGGATTCAACCCTGGTGGGTTTAGTACAAGTTCCTCCCTCCCCTCGCATCATTGCCAACGTGCATGTCATGCAGATGTGCTACATCTGCTGAATCCGTTGACGCATCCACACACTTAAAAGCTTCAGTTAAAGGAAGTATTTGCTCATCGTTGGCCTGTTTTCCCCCCTTCCAGCTGCCCCTGCGGTTCAACGACAGCCTGGTGCTCAGGCAGCTGCGGTACACGGGGATGCTGGAGACCGTTCGCATTCGCCAGTCGGGATACAGCTGCAAATACTCCTTCCAGGTTGAGTAAAACGTTTTCCGTCTTTTGCCACCTTTAGCATCATTGTCAGAGTTCCCTGAATGCTGCTAGCTCTTTTTTTTAACAAGGTAATGAATTTATAGCTCATGTAAGGCAGTAATGAGCTGATGTTCCGGCATGGAGTGGTCCTCTGCTGCGCTGCTGACTTCGACCAAGCCGGTCTAGACCTAGGTGAAGGCTACGAGCTCGTCTGCAGATAACATCGTGGGTTTTGAACAAAAGCGGTATTTTTTTGTAACGTGGACGTCCTTCTTTGCAAAAAAGAAGGTATCAGCATTGCACGCACTCTTCCGTACGTGTTTTGGAATCACCTGGGAATGGCATTTGCCCCGTCGCGTCAGTGCTGGCTGCGTCCCGTCGGGAGGGTGATCGGCATCCTCTAAACCGCTCAGGAGTTGCCCAGCTTTTCCTGGTTTCTCCTTTTCCATGTGTTTGCCAGGTTTTGCACACATGTCCGTCCTTTCATGCTTTGCCGCTGCCGATTTGTTTCCTGCTGGCAGCTGCTTTGGGCCAGATGTCGTGTCCTGCGCAGCAGCTGTTTAGAGACGGAAAACTGCTCAATATTTATGTGCCGTGAGCATGGATCCCAACCTTACTTGGGAAAATCTCTCCTCTCCTACCTCCTCCGCTGTTTGAGTCCTCACAGCAGTAACCAATGGAGCATCTCAGAGATGCTTTGCAGATGCTGGTAACCCCCTTCCATAGCGGCCTTTGCTGAGGATTTGGAGCATTTTTTTTCTCGAGGTGACCCCCTGAGTTCTGCAGAACCTCTCCTGCCCCGTTGAAAGACGTTTGAACGTTGCTGGGTCCCTGCTTTGATGTGTTTCCCGTCAAACCAGGAATGGTGGACACAACTTGGCGTTCCCCAGTCCATAAAATACTGTCTGTCCTTCTGCTCACTCGACAGATCCCTTTTCATCTGGCCAGTGGAGCAAATCCACCATTTATGGAAGAAAGGGATACAGCAAGACCCATCTAACCAAATCTTGGTGTTTCTTTTTTTCCTTCTCAGGATTTTGTGAACCATTTCCATGTCCTTCTACCGCAAGGAATCAGCCCGTCTAAGCACAATATCCATGACTTCTTCCAGAAAATAAAACTCAATCCAGACAATTACCAAGTTGGAAGAACAATGGTAAATGTTAATCCTCAGCTCAGACTTAGGTTTAAGATACAGATATAACACTTGCCTGCATTTCTGTAATGATAAATTAACATTTTACTTGGAGATGTTCGGCACGTATTTTTCTTCTGTTTGCCGGAAGCCAATGGCTTAAATGAAGCTTTGAGTATCGTTAACACGAAAGAGTAAGGAACATCGTTGCTTTATGTTAACCAAGTCTGGCTGTAACGAGGCAGCCTTCAAAAAACTACGGCTGTGCGTAGACACAGCTTGAAACGATAGGTATCATTTTGCCTCCCCTGAGGGGAAAGCAGAGGCTCTGTAATTCAGAGCTCGGACAAGCACAAGCTGTAGATGAAACTGCAGAAACCTGTTAGAGGTGGCTTAGCTAAAATCAGCTGCTGAACTTTCTCTGGGCATCCAGGTCACCGAAACCAGGAAGATTAAATCATTTGTCCTGTGGCCTTGGAAGCTTTCCGTGCTAGTGTTTTTGGGGTTTCTTTTTTTTTTTTTTTTTTTGGGCCAGGTTTTCGTGAAGGAGCGGGAGCGGCAGCTTCTGCAGGACCTGCTCCATCAGGAGGTGCTGCGCCGGATCATGCTGCTGCAGCGCTGGTTCCGCAGCGTGCTCTGCAGGAGGCAGTTCCTGAGCTTAAGGCAAGCCGCAGTCATCATACAGGTAGGTGATGGTGCCTGATTTCCTTGCAAATTACGAACCACGGATCCTACAGGTACGGCTGGTGTGTAAAGTCAGGTCCCCCCTCCGAGGAAGGAGCTTGCAATCAGGATTTGAGTCCTAGCGCCAATAATAACTTGGGAACGGGGGAGACAGAGCTGGAAAGGTTGCATGAAGGCGGGCGCTCTCCCATCCCCACGCGACACCCGTTACAAGGAACTGCCTTCTGTGTTTGCAGAGGTTTTGGCGTAGTTACCAGCTCCGAAAGCAAGGCGAACCATCCCCAGACCCTCTCGTCCTCGGCAGAGCCGCCGTCGTTCTCCAGACCCACTGGCGTGGCTTCGTGGAGAGGCGGAGGTTCCTGCAGATGCAGTTTGCGGCCCACCTCATCCAGAGCTGCTGGCGGGACTATGCCAAGCGGCGGCACGGCGCGGCCACCAGCATCCAGGCAGCCTGGCGAGGACACCGTGCGAAGCAGTCGTACGCGGCCAGCAGGAGCAAAGTTGTCTGCTTGCAAGCGGCGTGCCGAGGATATTTAGCACGGCAAAGGTAATGCCATCGGCCCCGGTTAAAAAAGAAAACGCTTTCTGATAAGGGATGTGGTTGATGTAAGTTCTGGCACTGCTCAGACCACGGTGACTTTACGGAGGATGGTGTCCCTTCGCGGGATCCCTGACCCTGACCTGCCCTGATCCTTTGCTTGTCCACGCTTTCTAACAAAGGAGTTTATTTAGCTGCACGCCCTACTCTTAGAATAAGCAGAGCCTATTTCAGGTTGGAGCACGTAGGCAGTGGAAAGCCGAGGCCATAAATACTCGTGAGTTGTGGGTTGTTGGTTTTTTTTTTCCCCCTTGGCAGCAGCACTACTTTAAGTAGCCTATTTTTAACTCGGATCGGCTCGCCGATCTGGTTGCTGCACTGTCTTGCAGGGAGAGGAGATACTGGAGCCAGCCGCTGCGAAGGGGAGGGGGTTTCCAACCATGCCTTGGCTTGCTGGTCGCAGGACGGGTCTTGGTTCATTCTCCGAAGGCGCTGCCTGCGAGGTGTGGAGCACCTTGATGTAGGGTGGAAGATTTGGGAGCTGCAAAGAGCTCTTGGCGTGGGGCGTGAGTCCCTGCTAGCTGTACCAGAGGCAGCCCAGGCAGGGTGGTGAAGATGGAGAAGACAAGGGGGTGTGATGGGTTAAGCTCTTCTGCCTCCGTCAGCTTGCAAACGAGCTAGACCAGGGATGGAAGCTGGAGCCGCTGCCGCCGGTGCGAGAGGAGCTCTCAGGTACGTGGGGGCAGTCCTTGAGTAGCAGAGATGGCATAAGAGGAGAAGATTGAAAACCAAAGGTGCACGCGCATCCTCTTGCACTGGACGTGTGAGGAGGGTTGCTTGAGGTGCCAACGGTGAGGCGATGATGGCGGCGGTGTTGATGAGGTGGCACCGGTGCAGTACCTTGAAGGGATGTGAGTGGGCACAGGGGAACGTTTTTTCTGCTTTCTTGCAGGTTTAGAGCTTTGAAAGAGCAGCGATTAAAAGAGATGCAGCTGGAGAACGGCCTGTCCATTAGAGAAGGGGACGGACTGGGGGCAGATGATGCTTTGGAAATTAAGGGCTCGGACCCATCTAAGTGGGAGGACGGCTCATTTGAAGAGCGAGTGAGAGCCATAGAGGAACATAAATCACTGATGGAGAATAATCGGGTGAATCACGTGGACCCACTGGAAACTTCTGCAAATTTGTTGTACAAAAGGCATGAGAGAGCCAGTAGCCAGAGCGGGATGGACACCGAAGAGGAGGTCGTTGTGAGAGAGAGACCCAAGTCGCTGGAGGATCTCAACCAGAAAAAAGTGGTTCGTGCAAAAAGAGAAAGCCGGAGGATGCGTGAACTGGAACAGGCAAAATTTAGCTTGGAGCTGCTTAAAGTCCGGTCCACCGGTGGGCTGTCACCTTCAGAAGAGCGGCGGTGGTCCACTGAGCTTGTATCTGAGGCACTTCATTCCCCTCAGGGAACCCCGGAGAGCGAAAGCTCTCAAGGGAGCTTCGAGATGTTAAGCTGTGAAGATACCCCAAGTAATAAACGCATTTCCTTAGTTTTAGATGAGCAAGATGTGCAGTTGTTTCCCACTGACTCCTTGCCTGGCAGTCCCCAGGCTCATCTGCAGGAGAAGTCTTTCTGTGCGGCGGATGTGAACAGCAATTTGCCTGGTTGCCGAAGGATGCCTTCAGACTTGGAGCTACCCAATAACCTCACCATGAAGGAGCACGTGGTCTGCGACCCCCAGAATGTTACATACAAGGCGCACCCGAGAGAAACCTTCCTTGCCAGCAATCTACCTACTTTCTACGTTCCACCACAAGACAACATGAAGGTAAAGCTGGTGGAGAACAACCTGAGGAACAAAGCAGTGGAAAGAGAGGAGAGGACGGTTATGTTCTCTGAGGTCAGGAAGGACTCTGAACCAGACCAGGGCAGAGGCTTGGGAGGGGAGGAAGAGGAGAAGTCCTCTACCAAGAGAGAGGAGCGTGGGACGACGCAGGCCCATTCTCCAGACTCTGTCATCAAGAGACTGGAAAAACTCAATGTGGAGAAGGAAGAAAGGCAAAAGCAGCTTCAGCTGCAAAATGAGAGGGAGATGATGGAGCAGATCCGTCAGCAGAAGGAGATTCTGGAGAGACAACGCAAAGCATTCGAACAGCAAGGTAGGGTGGAGGCTTTGCAGAGGGCTGAGCAGAGCAGAATGAAGGACCCCTCCCTCAAACCATCAAAAAAACCAGACAGCCGGCCTCAGTCAGTCCTCATCCTGCACCCGCAGACCAGAGGGGAGCACGGCCACACCACAGGTGTGACTACAGCCTCGTCGGTAGACATTAAAGGTCTCACCGTTGGGACCAGGGGAAGCTCTCCAGCCCACGGTGCCCCCAAAGACAGACCTGTCAGCATGTTCATGGAGCGAAGAGAAGGTCACTCAGGATCGGTGCTGGAAGCCCGGTGCCATTCCAGACCGGCTCTGGACCCCAGGGACCTCCCGGGCAGCCACCTCTCAAGGACAGAGCGCCTCCGGCAGCCCCGAATGCCCAATCAGGCCACCGAGGAGACGAGGGCAGGCGCTATGTTCTTCACGCCGAAAGACAATCCCTTTGGCCTCCAGTGAGTAAAAAGATGGTGTGCGTTCTCCATAGGCTTTCTCCATAGGCTTTTTGTTCTGCTAGAGGCCGTTTGGTACAATGGTCCAGAACATTGTTTCTGGAGACTGTACAAAAGCCCTAGCAAAACAAAGTCGGGTTTCTTGATCTTCTAGCGACGAGCGAGCAGAAAAGGAAAAAGAACTGGAAATACGATTTCTCGGTCTCTTATGTGATGAGCATTATGTAAGAGCCAGGGGAGATAATCATGGATATTAGCAGGTGAAGGGAATTAATAGAAAGATTGTCAACACTGCTTTCATTGACCCTAGGTGAATGGTGATAGGAGTTAATTTCTCAAGGTAAAAGATGAAGAAAAAATTCTTGGGATTTTTGGGTGGTCAGAGTAGAAATGACTAGGTAAGGCAGAAAATTTCAAGATTTTTCTTGCTTACTGTATAATTAACACAGCCATTTGGGCAGTTTTACTATTGCAGATTAAAAAACAGCAACTGTCTGGAGAGAGTTTGCGATGCGAACGCACTTTTGACAACGTATGGCTTACATACATAATTATGTGTGTAATGGGCTTAGCATTTGTTCAGCTCCATCGCATTGATTAAATGATGGGCTGCTCCAGCACAGGGTCTAGAGACCGCACCAAGATCTTGGGACAACATTTGCTCCCACTCTATCGCGTTGCTTAAGCTGCCTTGCCTAATTTTGGAGAGGTTTTGGCCGTTTAGCTCAAAAAAGACAAACCCTGCTGTGCCCTTTCCAAGGCAGAAGCTACCAGTGAACATTCGTTGTTGATAACTCAAGGTACCTCCAAGCGTGGTAGTCTTGTGGTTTATGTTGCGATGGGAGGAGATTCCAGTTTAATTTGTGCAGGTTCTTTAACTAAGTCCAGACACACGTGATGGGGAAAAGGAGCGGTGAATAAAAAAATAGCCCTTTGCCCCCTGATAGAGCAAGCGGCATCCCGTGCGCGTGGGCGTGGTGAGGGTTTTATTCGGAATTGATGGTAGAAAGAGTGAGCTGAGCAAAAAGCAACTTTATTTTTAAATTCTATGTTAGATGTAAAGCGAGGATGCTCTCCTGAACCAGTTTGTACGAAAATCTGCGTGAGGTCCTGGAGAATTGCTTTGGAATTGGCTATTTGAGAACAGTCTTCCCCCCAAAAATTTCTTTCCATTTCTTTTCCTGGTTCATGCATAGAACAAGCAAAAGGAAAAAAAAAAAAATTAAAAATGCCTGTCTTTTACTTTTTATTCTGCAACAGAACAATCACATTTGAGAGTACAGCAGAGAAAAGGTACCATCTGTGATCACCGTGATGGGTAGAGTTGGCAGGCAGAACTTCGCATCTTCTTGTCCTTTGGTATTAACTCAAATCCAGAAGAACTCGAAGCAATTCCAAAACCCCGTGACCTCAGACTTGCAATTTTGGTCTCGATTGCTTGGGCTGCACGCTTGTACGCTCCTGCAGGCTGGGCTGGCTTGGTGGGAAGGCTTTTAGGAGAAGGTGAAACATCTCTGTGTTGTTGTGTTTCAGCAGGGAAGCAAGTCATCAAGGCCTCTCCAAGGGTGAGCTGGCTAGGAAGCCGTTTAAGATGCCGGGGTCTGGCAGAGGAGAGGTAAGTTGTGGCTTTCTTATTTTCTCTTTTAATTGAACGGGGGGAAAAAAAAAACCCTTATTCTGCCATTTTTCCCTCAAAAAGCTTTAAAGAAGTGAACTATAAAGCAAAAGGGCTCCTAGACACAGGGAAGGAGGCTTCACACCTCCTCTTGAAAAGAGCTCCCAGTAGCATTAACTCATAGAAGTTCTGGATAAAAAGGATCTCACGGTCCTGATGGCAAACACCGTCCATCGCAGTCTTGTCTTGGTTTGGGTTAACGTACATTTGAGTAACATCCATGATTGTCCATTTTCACCGTGTTGTCTTGGTTTTTGTTTTTCCTGGTGTTGTTTTCTTTTTTATTACATGTAATATTATGTCCCCTCCGTGAGGTGCAATGTTACTCAGAGATGTCTTAAGGCCGTACTTGAGCTACACTATGATGCCAAACATCAGTAGAATCTCCTTTTTATTTTAAAAAACTTTTTTGTTTGTTTGTTTTATCATTTGGTCAAGCAGGTTCCCAGACCGACCCATAAAAAGAAAGCCCGCATGGCGCGGACGCGCTCCGATTTCTTGACTAGAGGTACTTTTGCTGATGGGGAGGGGGATACGGAGGAAGATGATTACGATGGCAATTTTGAGTTCCTTCTCTCCTCTGACCAACCTCCTCATCCCGAGGCGGTGCCTGCGGCCCGGCTGGGGCAGGCCTGTTACAGTGACTCCGAAATGGTAATTTTTTTCCCACGTGGCGGGGGAAATTTAAAACGGGAGTGAGTGGAGCTGCGGGAGCCTTTCTTTGCTAACCTTAGCTGCACTGATCCCTCCACCGCTGCTTCTCCAACTTCCAAGGATGCTGCAGATGGGTAGACTCAGCGAACACAGCAGAAACGGATGAAATAGGGAAATAACTTGTATTTCATGGCCATGGGGATGTTTTCTGGTTTGATTCGATATTGGCTATGGTTTCCATAGCTTTCCTGGAGCATTGCAACTCGTATTGCACAGCTACCTGGGTTTTTTGTTTTTAATCTCAATAGCAAAGTCCCCCGAGGATCCTTGTGCTCTAAAAATGATCTACACACATCCATAGAAAAGATGAAAGCAAATCGTGTCCAAAAAGCAACAGCCAGCAAAGAAAACTATATAAATCTTGCACCTCCTATTACTTTTGATTTTATGTCCTTGGCCACAGTATCCGATGATTATTCAGTCCTCAATTATCAGAGCAATGCCGGCAGACAGCATCTTGGAGAAAGCAAAAACACGTAAATTGGGCAATAAAAATACAGTCAGAGTGAACTAGTGGATTTAAAAAAAAAAAAGAAAAAAAAAGAAAAAAAAAAAAAGAGCAACCTTAGTGGCTATGTCACCTTGCTATGTGAGCCTGTGCTGCAGAGCATTTGCATCTCAGGCTTAACCTCCCACTCAGATAAGCTGCTTTCAGAAAATCATAAACCCAGAGGTTGCAGGAGTGGAAGAGGCCAACGGCTTCCAACCCACTGATGTTTTTTTCCTGAGGTGGTGGAGATGTTCCCAGAGAAGTGTAGATAAACACCAGGGATCGTCTCTTGCCGTAAGAGCTCAGGTCAAACATTGCGTAGAGGCGCCTTGCTCCTCTGCTGCAGCTACGGTCCTAGGTGTGGGCCTGAGTATAAAACCAACCAAAGCACGAAAGCCAAAGTCAGCGATTTATTTTGTGCTACAGCGTTGCCGTGGGTCTGGCAAACCTCTCGTGCGATCCTAAAATCTGCTTTTCCAAGAGAGGCAGATGGCCAAGGAGGGCTTTCCGTGACTTTTCTGTTAGCAGCTTTTATTATAAAGGATAAATTTTTCCCAGGACAATTTCCTCACTGGAAGAGGGCAGAGATTTACAAACTCCATGAATTTTTAAGGTTGCTTTTGATAAATTTCCAGGGGTTTTGAGCCAGGAATACTTGAAGCTTCATTGAAAGAGGCGGCTCTGTGAACGGAGCTCTCTTGGTTGCCTCTTAGCGCATCTCCCTGCTTTTGTAGATCAGGAAAAGGAGAATTTTGCGTAGTAAAATGTGTTATTTCACATAGCCTGGCCAAAGCCCTGGGCAAGGGGCCGTGCCATCCCTGGAGTGCTGTGCTGTGTTCCTGGAGGCTACCCTCTTACAAAGCATTAGGGGTTTTTTTAGCCATATAAATCTTTCCCACTGGGATGTGAAAGGCGCTTGGCAAGCTCCATCCTTGGGAAGGGACCTGGCTCATCCCAGTCTTCAGAAACGCTCCTTGGGACTCTGCTCACCTGGTTTAACAGCTCTCACCGCATGCGAGTAGTAGTAGGTGCCAACTGTCTCTCGTCTTTGCTGTGTACCTCTTCTCCTCTGCTCTCCATCACTAGCTCCAACTGGTGGTCAGCACTTTCACCCCTTGTGTGGTTGAGTTCTGCTTTCTAGCAAACGCTACCCGTGAAGTCGTGTGCTCAGCAATACCCTACATCTGTCTGTCCTGACATGTACAGTGTTGCCATGTGTATTGCAGGTTGGGGACCGGCTCTTTGGCTTGTGGTTTCTCTGGGTCAGGATCGCCACAAGTAGCAAAATTTAGGGACTGCTTACTGATATTTATTTGCAGAGCCCGGCTGGGTGTTGCAGATGATGGAGGCGCCTACGATAGAGCAATACTGGTGCATGTTGGTTTGGGTATGAGCTCCAGTAGGTTGATGTCTGTGTAGACACGTTTGTTGTGTCTTGTGATGCTCACATGAAGACGAGGCAGGCAGCCGCCATGCGCGGGCTGGTTTCTGTGCTAGTGAATAGCTTATTCATACAGCTCCCTGCCCCCAGCTACCACTTTCCAAAAAAGCCTTTTTTAACGTGCTACTCGGTGGCCAAGGACTGCTGCATAGACGAAAGGGAGATCACGTGTGACCTTGTGAAGTTGAGCATGTGATGACTCACCAGCTGTGCTGGTGTGAACCTGCCCATTATGCCCATTGGCTTCTTGACCATCAAGTCAGTGATTGTGTATCGCCAGCTGGTAAGTAGAGGTCCACCAGAAACCAATGCTTTTGACCTATGTCTGTGGTATCTCAGAGCAAACACCAAAAGCATCTTCAAACAGAGCTGAACCCCAAGGTGCACCAGTGGTGACTGATGAAGGTACAGTTGACTCCAAAGAGCCTTTAAGGCTAAAGGGCTTCCTGACAAGACCAGACCTTCAAAGGTTGCTTGAGTTTTTTGGCTAGTGATTAGCTGAGGATTAACCTGCCTTGTGGTGAGACAAATACAGGTAGGAGGAATAGCTCCTGGCTGTGGTCAACACATATGCATACCACTTCTGGTTTGTACCTAAGCCTGGAGAGCTTTCCTGCAGCGGATAAATAGAAAGCCTTGGTTAGAGAAAGCACACCAGAAGTGTCTTCTGAATACGTTCTCCTTCTGCAGAGGCTCTTTGAGAGTCTTGCATAATGAAGCAGCGATTTAGCTCTAACGTCCATACTAAAGCCACGAATTGACAAACATCAGTCCAAGTATCTGTCACCAGCTGACCTCAAGCACGCCTGAAGAGCCAGCAATGAAAGATCTCTTGTCCTAAACCGTTCAGAGGGAGCATTGCACTTCAGGAAGCTCTTCAGTGCAGCCTGTAGCACTGCTGCCTGCTGGGACCAGTCATCTCACTTGGCCACAGTTATCTCTTCCTAGCGCTGGCGGGCAAAATACAGGTTGCTCTTTCAGAAGAAAAGTATTTGGTCCCCTTTTCATCCAGGAGACAACTCCAGACCCCCTGGCTATTGCCGTTTGCCCGCACATGCTACTTTGTGGTGTTCCCTCGCCAGGGATTTTCTGGTGCAGAGGCTTGTCTTGGCATCTGAGAAGGTTTCCCATCCAGACAAGGACCTTGCCCATCACAGCTTCTTGGAGGAGTCCCTCAGAGAGAAGGCTCTCGTGCCAAAAATGCCTTTTAGTCCTTACTTTCAAAAACTGGAGAGGTTGCTGTGATAGCAGAGGAAACGCTGAACAATGGTAGATCAAGAATTGGGGCAGAGCGGAGAGAGGTGGTGGTAGTAATGGTAGAAAACCCTTCTTCCAGTTTTGTCTAAAAAGAGCATTACAGATGTTTTTGACTCAAAGTCTTCTGCAGGAACCAGGGGTTTCACTTGCTTTGGTCTACTCCAGAATCTGTACACCAGGTCTGCTTGTGCAGTAGATAACGATATATATTTAAAAAAATAAAGTCTGTGGTGTCCTATAGAGCAACCTCTGCCTTGCCCCAGCAATTCCCTTAGCCTGCTTGGAATGGTCAGCACATACCAATGTGCTTTAAATGGCTTTGAAATAGAAAAAAGGGAGTAAATGCCCCCACAAAATACTTTAAAAAACAAAAAAGCACTGAAAGTGATGAAAAGGTTGAAGGTTGAAGTTACTCAAGAACAAATCCATAGTCTGGAGGCAGGTATTTCAGTAGGTCATTTTTAAAAGCAAATAGTAAGTTCGCACTGGATGGAAATCACTTTTATGGGTTCGGGGGCGGGGGGTGTCCCATTATGCATCCGACATTTATGTGTCACCTAATGTAAGAGTGAGAGGAACGAGAAACCCTTTGATGGTTTAGGCAGTTTCTTTCTTTCCCGGTGGCAGTTTTGCCTTATGTGCTGCCATCTCCTGGCTGGTAGGAAGGTTAGTCCGGGGTGAAGAGAGAGACGTTCAAAGAGAGTAAATACAGTAAATGTGACTCCCCTGCAGACCATATTTTATATAATTTTATTTCAAATGTTTTTACTAGAAGAAAAGGAAATGCTTAAAAAACACAGTGTGTTCAGTTGAGACATTTAGGTGATGGGAAAGCTACAGGAGATATTTGACCATCATCTTCCAAATCCTTTCATACAACTCGATTCCTTGCTTTCCTCATGCTGAAAGTGTCTTCTCCAGGAGTCAAACTCCAAAATCACAGCTACCACTGGAAAAAAGGAAAAAAATTGCCTTTTTTTTTTTTTTTAAATACAGCAAGACTATTTCTGGGCTATTTCATGGAATCCTGTTAGGTTAAAATTATTGCAAATTCATTTCAACCTTAATAGTGATCCCAAGGACATTTTAAATGGTGGTGAAAGTGAAGATCCTTTGTATTAAAGCTGCAGAATCTCTTATTTCTAAAGGCTTAATTTTACCTTGTCCTTGGCACAAAGACTTCGGACTTATTTTCTGCAAAGTCCTCAACAAGAGCTGGAGGAGGAGGCTCTGCTAGGACACATCCCTGTGGTTGAAGGTTCCTTTGGTGCTAGGAACACCACAAATCACTTCATTGTGGCTAACAATCGTGGCTAATGTGGCTTTTCTGGGCTGGAGAGTTGGGCTGCCCAGACTAAGATGGTGGAGTAGTTGTGCAGGTTGAGTGATGAGGACCTGTGGCTTGGTGCACACTGATTTTCATCGTTGGTTGTTGAAGGAGAAAGAAGGTTGGATCTTGATGTAGAGTTGGAGCACGGGAAATCCCTTTCTTTTTTAGGAGTCATTAAAATATTTCTTGAGTTGTAGCTAGCTTGACAGGACTGTAGGTTTTCACCTGTAGGCAGATAGAAATAAAGACGTAGCAGATGAAATACCCAGTTTTTGCTAGGAAAAAAAAATCAGGTGGCATCCCAAGAACTGTTTCATTTTTAAACACTTCGTGCTTGGAATTGTTACAGACGGTGCAGCGATTCGCCTCTGGGGAAGGCCAAACGAAACTGCACAAAACCATGTCTCAGGGGGAGATCGGGAAGCTGGCGGCCACGCAGAAGAGCCTGGCTCCAGACGGGAGGTAGGAAACATGGCTGAAGATGGGAGACGAGTCCCTCCCGTGTCCTTCTTGCTCTCCATCACCTTGCTGAACCACCTCAGCTCCTGTGGAGCTCCATCAGCCATAATCAGTACACTAGTTACTCATCCCACCTTTCCTACATGACATGGGACATGCCCAATTAGAAGAGGCATCCTGCTCATATCGCGATAAAAATTTTGACGACATGGGCCAGATGTCCCATTACAAACCACCCAACTGCACGCATGAAACCTGAGTTTCTTGCCTTTCCTGAGGATACGTGGTTTCTCTGGTAGAAGTTGTGTTGATTTAACTCCTCCTCAAACATGATGAAAGTCTGGGAGATTTGGGGTAGTTTTGGGTAGAAGGACATTTTCCTTGTTAAGGTGGTTCCTCTTTCCCCGACTTATTTCCAGGCCTCAGCGAGCCAAGATGAGGTTCTGGGTGAAGGGAAAGCAAGGGGAGAAGAAGACCCCACGGGAGAAGCTTGCTACTCAGTCTGAGCTGCTAGAGCTGTACGCAGAGCAAGAAGCCCCCGGCAGGGAGGTCATTTCTGGCTTGCAGCTTGGTGACGGTAAGTGATGGGGTGGCATGGTGCCTGTACCGTAAGGAGCAGAGAAATCGCGTTCGCTCTCACGGCAGAGGGAGAAGCTATTGTAAATCTGGCTTTACGCTACAACCAAGCGTAGCCCAAGATATAGAGGCTCGGGTAAAGATACAGAACCGAGGAAGATTGGCTCACCTATAGGGGTAGGGTATCTGTAAATGGGAGTGTGGTGTGGTCTAGCTGAGGCTGCTGTAGGGAGATGGATTGGGAAGCTACACAAATCAAATGCCCATGCTGGTTCACGTCTCTTGAATTCATGGGTGGCATCAACCCGAAATGGTGGCAAGTAGGTTAAAGGGTGGGATCCAAAACAGGTCTTGAGGAATTCCATGTCGTTAATCCTCCTGGCAGCTATCTGGACATCAACAGATGTTTCCCCTCTTGACAGAGGAAATGACCAAAGGAAAAATGACATTTGTTTAATCTTCCTACGAGTACCACACGGTGCTTTTCTCCTCTGCAGGTTTATTCCAATGCCCATCTTCCTGTTTTAGTGGCAGAACTATTTTTCCTTCACGTTACGTTGCTGTGTTGCAGCTCTAGGAGATTACGCTCGATGTTTTTTACTTGTTGAGAGTTCATCGAGAGCCAGAGGTTTTTATTAATACCCAAGAAATAACCCTGCTTCTCTTCCAGGCCATAGGTGAAACTTGGGGGGAAAGCATCTGTTAATTAATCTGCTCTTCATTCTCTTTCC